CTTATATAAAGTGCCCTAGGCCTGTGCTTGGCTCATCTATTATTAATACGACAATGATGTCAAGAGTTCAGATGATTAGACGATCATAGCGTTTAATTATGCAAATTCAGATAGAGTTCTCACTTGCTTCTCAGCGAATGATGTTTTTTTTTTTTTTTGGGAGTGGCGCAACAATTTTTAATGACAAATAAATTACATGTAATTATACAAAAAGTTTTATAAACTCCTCCAAATTGTAATATTTATAAGTTATTTTTAATATATTTCAATAAAATATATACATGAAAATTTAAAATTTATTAATTCTGTCTAAAAATTTAATATATTTTTAGTTCTGTCCTTATCAAATATGCATGTTTTAATAACATATTTTCTCTCACCAATATTTAATAGAGGGAAAAGGATAAATTTATAATAAAAAGTTAATGACATACCTTATAAAATAGAAATAAAAAATTATTTTTTATCTACCTTATAAAATTATTTAATAGAGAGAAAATGATAAACTTATGAGTATAGGATTAGAGGGACAATTTATATTAATCATAAAAAATATGATAAGCAACATTCTTTTGCTAAAAATTTTTGCAGCTCCCAATTTGTGCACACTTCATTATCTTTGCAATGCCACATCAACAATACCATATTACCTTTTAATGGCACATAAACAATCAGATAAAACTCTCCATAATTATATAATACTGTAAATGCGGGAACCTTGTAGTTTAATTTATAATTGGATACCTTGTCGTTCCGCCTCTGTTACAAACTCTTCATAACTATATCATCTTGCTGCAATAATCCTGAATAAGAAATTGTTGAGTTCATAGACTGTAACATAGTTTCTTTCTTTTCCATTTAGAGTGTGTGTGTGACTGTGTGTGTGTAATAAAAGGAAATAATTGATAAGAGAACTAAATGGAGAGAAGGCATCTCCTGTTTGAAACATTGATTGCATATTGTATGACGAGCTTCATATCAATCATCCTTTGACAGTATCAATATTTAGTGTTTGAAATAATATAAGCCACTTCTTGTTTTCCACTCCCCCCACCCCCTTTGCCAAAGGAAACTGGGTTTCCACTCTAAAAAATATATCTCAACAGTATAATTATTTCATTTTGCCTAGGTTCCTCGTATTATATACAAGTCACTTCTAACTATTTTACTGAAATTAAGAGATATGTAGTTAAATTATTGGTATTGTCTGAAGAAAATTTTATTTTATCCTTATTAAAAATATTTTTCTCTCATATGTAGTAATCTATTACTCTAATTATAGAAAATTAAAAAAGGGTAAAATTGAAGAAAAAAAAATTGATTAAGCACTTTGTTATATAAGGTGACTGATTGAAAGAAAGCATTAATTCTTTTTAAAAAAATAGTATATATATATAGAACCAAATGGGATATTTATTATGGAAATTGAGGTGTAGGAAGATCTATTCGGGAGTGGAGAATTGTTATGAGGATTTCATCACCCAAAAAGTTAAGGAAGATCTCAAATTCAGATTTGAAAGGAGCTATGATAAGAACCGTACAGGTTTTTTAAAAAAAAATAGTGTAAATTTTATACTTTTCATAAATAAACATTAATAACTAAAATTATTTTAACGCCATATTACATTCTTAAAGCTAAAAGTGAATTACGAAATAAAATTTACGGTTTCAATTTAAAATAATTTAAAAATAAAAAACAAAATATCTTTTGCCTATTTTTACGAAACAGATCATAACATTCGGGTAATGAAGAGTGGAAGGGTGAAATGATATATATTGTTAGCATTTCTGTCATTCGTATGTCCACACATTTTGACATGCAGAGAGCATTTAACATTTGCGGGTTAGCCGCCTGTTTCACCAAATGAAGCACCTCAATAGTAATCTTCCTATCCCAACCAACAACCACTATTTAATTTTAGTTACATTGTTGTGAGTTTTGCAATAATTTTGTAAACCTGTCAAAAGTTATTTCATTTTTTTAATTAATATTTTCTATTTTCTATTATGTGATATATATATATATATATATATTTGAAGCTTAATTATTTTCTTTCGAAATATAATTGCTATTAAATATATTTTTTGGAGCAAATGACGTCTTTTTGTTTTATTTTTTTAACAATAATTTCTCCGATTCATAATGTGTAATTAGTTTAAAATGTATAATATTTTTTTAGTTTTAAGACATTTTTTTTATCTCTATAGTTGTTAATGTGAGTTGAGTAATTATGTATTGGAAATTGCGATGTTAATTGTAAAATAGGCAAAACTGAAAGAATAGATCAAGTTTTTGTGAGATGTAGAAAAAATTAAATTTTTTTAATTTATGTGATATATATATATATATATATATTGAAGGTATCTAGAGGAAGATTTTTGGTTGATGTCGGACGACATTATTTCACTTCCTGTGTTCATATCATCTCTTTTGGCAATAGGGAAGATTTTTCGATTGATATTTATTCAAGAATTGACAAATTTCAAGAACTCAATGCTCTCATTATTAGGCGGCTGCGTTTGGCACCATCCTAGCTAATCCAAACGGATAGCTTATATGGAACACACAACTAATTAAATAATTGAGCAACACAAATTCAATAGAGTGTACTACTCCTCAATTTTTGAATTGCAAGACATTTTTTATGAGGTTAGGTCTTTAAAAATATAAGATATTTTAAACTTGTCAACTTGTAATTAATGATTTTTTTTCAAAAATACTCTTAATATAAATAAATGAATCAACCATTCACCTTTAAATAAAACATCCTATTAAATAAAAGTAAATATAAAAAGATAATATAAGTTTTATTAACGATAATTAACTAACTTATTTTAGGATGTGATTCGATTGATTAAAAATATCTTATATTTTTTTAAAAAAAGAAGTGTCTATGTAAAGGTATGTGCTTTTTTCATTGAGAATTATAAAGCACTTTTAAACAAATTTATACTTCCAATAAATTAGTTAATGATACCTTTAATTTAAAAAAATGTAGAAAATTTGTATTAATTTTACCTTAAAAAGATCCAAAATACTTTACATTTTTTTAACATAATATTTTAAAAAATTGTGTTTTATAATGCTGAATAGAAGTAGTACATATATCTTATAAAATCAATTGAAAGACCATTCTTTAATTATAATATCACATGTTCTTGGTTTAACTCATAAGGAATTTTGCCAACTTAATAATTATACGTCTCAAGTTTGAATTTTGAAAATCCACTTATGGTGGTGGTAAAGTCTTAATCCAAAAGACTTTCATCTTGGTTTGATCATGATTAGCCTATAATTGACATAGAACTATAGTTTTACTAGTTGCAATGTCATACTCAAAAGGAAGGATATAGCTAGACTAAAATTTTGAAATTATAATTAACAAAAGATAATTTCAATATAGAACTACTCCTTATGGTCTTATGTATAAGTTACTTTCAATAATTTTATCAAAATGAAAGAAAACCTTAAATCTTGCTAACTCTATCTAAAAATTCAACATACAAGTTTTCAACTTTACCACTATTTTTTTTTAATTAACCAATTTTATCCCTTTTAAATATACATATTTTTAAAAATAAAATATGTTAACATTTAATAACCTTTTTGTAACATTTAATAGGGGTAAAAGGATAAAGAATAATATAATAATGATTGAAGTGCTTTATAAATATGACTAAAATAAATAATCTGTTTGCTTTATAAATAAAATGAGAGAAGTACTCTTTTCTCTAATATTGGGCTGTATTGTGAAACTAATTAATACATCCACGGTCCTCATGAATTAGACAAACTTGACAAATTGTGATTCTTCTCCTTTCCTTCATAGATATTTACCTCATTGAATCATCAATCAAAGAACTACACTTTTTTGGTGCGAATCTTTATGCTAACAACTCAACTTTATATCCTCAGGTCACGAAAGTGGCAAAATATAATTCCAATCGCTCTTTAAATCGTGTTTAAATGATGAAAGTAACATAACCTCACCAGGCTAGTAAACAAGAAATGGCACAATTAATAAAGCCAATGCCAACGCTTGTAAGCCTTTCTAGGTATCTAACAAGAATTTAACACGTTTATTTACTTATCCACCCAATTATGCACTCTGGTTTAACCTAATAATATTTATTTTGACATTTCTTTGCCAATGTTTTATATTTAAAGGATGGGCATTGTTGCATCTTGTAAAGATGGCTTATTACTACAAGGGGCTAAAACAAAAAGCTGAGATATAATTTTTTTTAACATGTTATTAGAGACTTAACATTGATGGAAGTTGTTGAATGAGACTTTTTGACAAGCAAAATACCCAAAGACTTAGTTATTGATAAACTACAATGGCTTTATGCAATTCATATAGATGATCTAACCTAATGAGATAATACATGTTAGTTGTTATAAGAGTTTTGTCCACAATTGATGGAGGATTGTTGGATGACGTGGACAAGAGCAAAACTAAGAAAAAAAAGTTTTTTGGGGAAAACATTGAATTTTCTTAATAAGCATTATACACGATGATAATGAATTAACATTTTCTAGTGGAAGGATCTATACATAGCCCGAAGCCACAATAGCTAAACTAGTAAACTATGTGGTTTAGTTAAATTTTTTATTGCACGCACACATATCTTTTATTAGGAATAATTATATTTGAGGCACGATCAGTACTAAATATAAGCATAATTTCACTAACAATTTTAATATTAATTCACCATATTTTGAGGCATTGGCCCATCCTGTTAGATCCAATTAACCCTTGTCATTCAGCTAAACTTAATTTTTAGTTAGTTTTGAGTTTGGACCCTTGACGGAAATTGTGAATCATGCAAAGATGAGTTACACTATTAGTAAAAGTTGAGTCCAAGATCGATGGAAGGGGCGTTGAGGGACTTGGAAGGCATCATTAAATCTCTTCATCTACCACCTTCATTGCATTGGCCCCCATTGCCTTTATAACCTCAACTTCCCCTCTCCTCTTTGCGTATCATCATCACTACCTTCTCTCCCTCTCCCTCTCCCTCTCTCTCTCTCTAACCAAAAATATTTGCCTTGTCTTCTCTCGCGGACATCATCAACATGCCTCCTATGCTGCCGGAATTCTCCAACTCCGTCAAGCTCAAATACGTCAAGCTAGGTTACCAGTACCTCGTTAACCACATTATCACTCTCACCCTCATCCCCATCATGCTCGCTGTCTTCGTCGAGGTATTACGTTTGGGTCCTTCCGAGATTTTGAACCTCTGGAAATCTCTTCACTTCGATCTCGTCCAGATTCTCTGTTCTGCTTTCCTCATCATCTTCATGGCCACTCTCTACTTCATGTCCAAGCCTCGTACCATCTTCCTCGTCGATTATTCCTGCTTCAAGCCCCCCGTCACGTGCCGTGTCCCTTTCTCTACCTTCATGGAACATTCCAGACTCATCCTCAGGAACAACCCTAAGTCCGTCGACTTTCAGATGAAGATTCTTGAGCGTTCTGGGCTTGGCGAAGAAACCTGCTTGCCTCCCGCCATCCACTACATTCCTCCAAAACCTACCATGGAAGCTGCAAGATCGGAGGCCGAGCTCGTCATTTTCTCCGCCATGGATTCTCTCTTCAGAAAGACCGGTCTCAAGCCCAAAGACATTGACATCCTCATTGTGAATTGCAGCCTCTTCTCTCCCACACCTTCTCTGTCCGCCATGATTATAAACAAATACAAACTCAGAAGCAACATCAAGAGCTTCAATCTCTCCGGCATGGGCTGTAGCGCCGGGCTTATTTCGATTGACCTGGCACGCGATCTTCTTCAAGTTCATCCGAATTCAAATGCCGTAGTAGTGAGCACAGAAATTATTACCCCTAATTATTACCAAGGCAACGAGCGAGCCATGCTTCTCCCGAACTGCCTTTTCCGAATGGGTGGTGCGGCGATTCTCCTAACGAACCGCCGGTCCGAGAGTCGGCGAGCCAAGTACAGATTGGTCCACGTCGTTCGGACTCACAAAGGAGCCGATGACAAGGCGTACCGGTGCGTGTTTGAAGAAGAGGACAAAGAAGGGAAGGTTGGGATTTCGCTGTCAAAGGATCTGATGGCCATAGCAGGAGAGGCTCTCAAGTCCAACATCACGACGATGGGTCCACTGGTTCTTCCGGCGTCGGAGCAGCTTCTTTTTCTTATGACGCTGATCGGAAGGAAAATCTTCAACCCCAAGTGGAAGCCGTATATCCCTGACTTCAAGCAAGCGTTCGAGCATTTCTGCATCCACGCCGGAGGCAGGGCGGTGATCGACGAGTTGCAGAAGAATCTACAGCTGTCGGCGGAGCATGTGGAGGCGTCGAGGATGACACTGCACCGTTTCGGAAACACGTCGTCGTCGTCGCTGTGGTACGAGCTGAACTATATAGAGTCCAAAGGAAGGATGAAGAAAGGAGAGAGAGTGTGGCAGATAGCGTTCGGAAGTGGGTTTAAGTGTAACAGTGCTGTGTGGAAATGTAACAGAAGCATCAAGACGCCGATTGAGGATAGTCCATGGGCTGATTGCATTGATCGCTATCCTGTTCATATTCCTGAGATCGTTAAGCTCTAGGCAACTAAAGTTCAAGAACAACAACGAGGTTGATTGGCCGTTGGGCTCGCTGGCTAGCTTCGATTTTAGTTGTCTGCTAAAATACATAATGATCTGTCATGCATTCATGCTTCTTCAGCTTTTTCATTCCTCGCCAGAATTATTTCTTATTATTTATTTTGCACTTCCTCATCTTGTTTCATAGAAAAAATTCACTGTGGTCCGTGGAGTGATGATGGACATACATATGATTATTCAGATTTGATCTCTGTAGATCAACTTGGACGTGGTTGTATGTATATTCATGTCGTGAACAACAGACTCTAGTGTCATAGTTGTTATGCCACTTTCTTTCTTTTTTCTTTTTTTGGACGAAAAATGCTTATTTTTCTTCGAGAGGCTATCTTGTGATCTCTATTGAGGATTAATTTCCACGCATTGATTATTAATGTGCATCATCTATGTTAGAAAAATGTTTAACTATACAATATCTACTTAATTAATTAGTTTGTTTCTTAATTGTAATTAATAATTAAGACATGAAGATGAGGAATGTACGTGAGATTAATTAGTTTTTATGAAGTATAAATAAATATTTTAAAGATGAAATAAAAATTTATTTAAATATATATCACGTATCACTTTGACTTTGTGGTTAACATTGTATCACCTTGTGAAATAGATTGAGTCTACAACTGATATTCCGTCACTAATCAAGAAAATGGAGCTAGCCATGAATAATTACCATCACCTACCATTTAATCATCTGTTAGTTGTTAAAAGTGTTCTTTGTCTTTTTATTCCATCACTCGTTATTCTAGAAACATGGGATATTATATCACTGCCCACACCTAAACTATTGCGAATTTCTGCTGTGTGATTATTATTATCAACAGCAACCTCACGGATATCCCAAGAATGCTGCCTTTGATACGCAAATATCTCAATTTAAATTTGAAACTATAAAATAGACTGATTTAACTCCCTCAATTAGTTGAATAATAAAGTGCACATTGGTTAATGGCGTTCCTTTTTGGTGTTTTAAGAATAAATATAATGACCTCCCTTAAGTTTGTTAAAATTACAGAGACATCTCATTTATTTCCAAAACCTACACTTTAATCCATTTCTTAACACGGATAAGGATATTCCATTTAAGATTATAAAATACTTTATTATATTAATTAAAATCTGTGAAAATTTTAAAATTATTAATATTCCGTTTTAATCTATTGTATTCTCTCTCCTCCAATTTTAAATAATATTATGGATATATTTTCATAAAAATTCTAAAAAATATTAAAATTAATAAAATAAATATAACTTATATTAATTAATTTATCTCTTGTTACATTCAATTCCTAAATCTTTTTCAATAAATGTTTTTAATTTATTAATTTTTTATTCATATATGTCTGAAATATTATTTTTGTCAATTTATATATTTAAAATTTAAAAAAACCAATCTATAAAGTTTATATCAATTACTCTTTAACTTATATACTATATAAATAATTTTATTTATATTTAATATTATTTTTGTCAACTAATATGTTGTAGTTAGCATTTGGAAACTTAAATGACTCTTAACAACACTTATGTTAAAGAGATGTGTTTAAGTCCACAACATATGATTTAATGGTTGGATAGATAAAAATGAAAATTTTAAAATAAAAAGAAGGCTTGTGTTATGTAAATTTTGATTTCAAGGGAAATTTATATAGGCTTTAAAAGAAGATATGTCTCCATGACTAAGGTAAAATAGAGAGGAGATTGATGTATTTTACTCTTGTTTTTAAGCATTTAATTATTAATTTGATGGATCATCCCGTGTGGCTTTTCTTTTTTATTTTGTAGAGGTATCATTCTTATTGAAGACAATCTTATTCAAGACATGATTAGGCACCAAATATAGGCATCTTATCCTATTGGGATAATTTAAACCTTGATGCACCACATTATGAGAGATTATTTTCTTCCACTAGACCCGTTTTCCATTATTGTAGCTGGTATTTGCCGTGAATTTTATTGGGAGAAAAATAATTCAAAGTATAGTTAGGTTTTATTGACATCAATTTTCATCAATTTCTCTTAAGGAGATACTCCTTCATTATTTCTAATGCCCCACACCATGACTCCCAAGTCCCTGCAATAAAATTAATTAGTTAATAATTGATTAATCAATAGTTGAATGAATTCATAGATTAACGTATTGGATGAATCACCAATTATCTTAACAATAAGATAATTGCTGGTATTTTTTACATCTCAATATACATAATTAAATTGCACAAAAGATTTTATACACCTTTTTTCTTTGTTATAAAAAAACCGATAAAAGATATCTGGGAGAGGTGTAATAAATCTCATAATTTTCGTATAAAATTGGTCTGTGATTGGTGATCTGATACATGTTTTTATAGGGCCATGTATATAGGCGTCATTATTTAATATGTTGCGGAATTAATGTTGAATTATATTAGAAGTATTGGATTTGTTGAGAACCAAGTTGCAATAACTTGCTTGATAGATTGCCAATAGTGACAGAGAATATACACATTTTTTGTGAGGTAAACAACAACATAAAATCATGAATTTGGAAAAATTGCGATATGGGTCAAACTAACTAATATTCCTATTTAGTGTTATGATAAGAGATATTATGAAGATTGGGTAATTGTATAGGAAAAACTCTGAAAGTATACTCTAATTCCCTATCTGAATCAGACTCTAAGGATGAACAAGGGAAGATAGAAAAATGAAAATTTATGAGGATCGATGTTGAAGTGGATCTGTAAAATAATTGGTTTCCAAGCTTCTGATTAGGGATGAACTATATAATGTGAAATATAAAAGTTTAAATGTGATCTGCTTTGGATGTGGTTGCTATGGACATAACAAAAATAATTGCCCTCACAATCCAATGAACAAAACTAAAAATAAGGCAAAAGAATATGCATGCAACATCAATCATCGTAGTAACATGAACCAACAGTGCTCGAAGAAGGTAGAAGAACAGCATCGGAATCACATAACACAGGACTCACCGGAAAAAAAAAAGCCTCATCTCACTAGAGAAGATATTTGGAGAATGGATGAAGTACAAACATTTGAAAAACACTCAATTTTTGAGGAGCCCAGCAAATAATCAGTTTACACATCACAATCGCAGTCCAAGCTTCACCTCCAGATCACGATTCAATGTTTTGGCCAACCTAGAGCACAACTCAGATGATAGAAATCAGAGACGAAATCCCTCCAACGTTCCACCTAAAGCCTCATCTACGAAAATTGTTAGAAAGGTATAGGTGAGAAAAGAGGTGTTAGGAACGAAGAGGGCTAGGTCAAATAAGTAAGGAGAAAATGATGAAGAAGACACAATTGGAGTTTGAAAGGAAGGGAAGAAGATGACTAAAGCCTATAAAGAAGTCAATACTGGGCCAAGTTTTAAATGGGATGGCCCAAACAAGGTAACCCTTGACAAAATGGCTTTAAATGAAAATCAACCTAATAACACAGCTAATAGGCATTCTAAGCGAATCCACAATATTATGAAAGGAAACAAAAGAGATTAGGCTCTAGTAAGCCTATAAACAAAAATAACAAGATGATTAGTTATGCTAAAAAGGCTAAGCATGCCGCATCTAAAGCTCTTTTCTCCCTTGATCCTAAAGTCTAGCAGCAATCTAATAAAGGTAAAGAAATAAGTATCAGCCATATTCTCAATCCAACTCTCATTTTCAACTTGATCATAGGATATCTCTAGACCCTGATCTTAATATCAGCATTATTCGTGAAACTCAATACAAAGAGGACACTCCTGAAGATTTAAATAATTTCATGAGTTTGGTTGATAATCATAACAAGCCTATTCAATTTAATGATGAAGATAATACCCTTGATGATGACTTACTGGATGAAGATTATCATAATTCTGTCAACATGATGATCTAGAAGATGACAAATTTAATGATGACCCAATTAAAGATTCCCTAGAAATCTCAAACAAATAGTCTCTAGCCAGGTTTATCTCCTCCTTTTCTTTTAATATGGATTTAATTTGCTGGAATTGTAGAGGTTCTTATGCTAAAAACTTTCCTATACGTATAAAAGAAATCATTAATACTTATCATACTCAAATCCTTATCCTGCTTGAAAGTAGAGCCAATGGCTCTAGAGCAAATAAAACAGTCAAAAAAACTTGAGTTTCTCTAATTGGATTAGAATTAAAGCAACTGGTTATGCTGGCGATATTTGGTTACTTTGGAATATATTGTTAACATTGATTATATTTATTCTAATATTCAGCTATTGCATTGCAAGGTTAATATTTTGGCCAAAACTTGCTCTTATTTACTTTTATGTGTTTATATTAATCCTAACCCTTTCCCACGTGATATGCTTTAGGATTCTATCACTTCTATAGCTAATAATAATTTCGATCCTTGGCTTGTCATTGGAGTTTTAACTCTTATCTTTCTTGCAATAACAAGTGTGATGGGATGATTTTTAACTAAAGATCTATGAAACAGTTCAAATAATGTATTAATTTTTCTAAACTTCCTGAGCTTAACTTCCTTAGTGATAGATTTACTTAGAAAAAAGGTAATGTGAAAGAGAGGATCAATTAGGCTTTCTGCAATAATGAATGGAGACTCAAGTTTCACCAAGCCAATTCCTTTTACCTTCTTAGACATGGTTCTGATCATCGCTCGATTAGAATCCAATTACTCAAGGAGGCCTCTCAAGAACAACAATTAAAACCGTTCCATTGCCATGTTGTTTAGATGCTTGAAGAATGTTTCCTTTCTATTGTCAAAGATTCTTGGATCAATAATACCTAGAAGGAGGGAGCTACTAAATTTGCAAACTTTGCTGCCACCTGGAGCAAAGAAAAAATCGATAGTATCTCTTCCAAAAAGAAAAGAATTATAAGGAGATTAGAAGGAATTAATAAAAATAGAAGCTACAGAGATAACTACTTCCTCAGAAAGCTAGAAAAATCTCTTTGGGAAGACTATAACAAAGTTCTTGTGCAAGAAGAGCCTATTTGGTTCCAGAAGTCTAGATGTAAATGGCTTAAGTGGGGCGATCAAAATACAAAATTCTTTCATAGTTCATCCATCATTAGAAAAAAAAGAAATAAAATTCTTACTCTTGAAGGTGAAGATGACAACTGTATTGAGGACTAAGTTATCCTTAAGAGTATGGTTGTTTCTTTCTTTGAAGACATCTTTAAGGAAGATGTCGCTATCAGACCTATTCTTTCTACAACTAGATGTTTTCCTCCTCTATCTTCCATTCAACTTCAATTATTACATAAGGAAGTGATTGAGGATGAAATCAAAAGTTCTGCCTTTAATATTGAAGCCTTCAAATCTTTAGGCCCGATGGTATTAATGC